ATATGAAATATATTTTAGTAAATAAAATGAAATATAATATTTTAATATTTTTCATTTTAATAAATAAAATGAAATATATTTTTTTAATAGTTAAATAAAAGAAGCAACAACGAAGAAAAATAAAGATATTTAAAATTTATTAAAAACAAGAACCGTTTAATATATCCTTTTAATGTCATATATAAGATCATTATAATTTAAGTAAATATAAATATTAGAAACTTGTAATTGTCTTTGTTTATTTTCGTGAAACTTATTTAGTTAGTGATTTATCATTATAGTGATTAGTACGTTATAATCAATGAAATTGTAGTGTGGTAAGTGAACTATACTCGCTTTAAGCAAAAACTAAATTGTTTGATTTTTTTAAAATTTCAAAGACGTGTAACCTCTTAAAGATGTTCAAATATATTTTTTTAGAATTATTGTAATGTAGAAAAAAATTGAAAGATGAATTGTACATGTTTGTAAATTATTTATTTTTTTGCAACATGTGGGACAGAAAAAATTGTAAAACTTTGTAAAAATACTCTATGGAGAAAATAAAATCTAATCTATAGAACCATTTTCAAAATAAAAACTGAACGAAAAAAAATTATTATTATTATATTTTTTTGCACCCATAAAGAAAGGTATAAAATGTTTAATAATTTATAATGCCATATATTATTATTAATATGGCAGCGACGCATAAAATGATAAGTGTTAATATGTTTAGTTTATCAAACTTTTGTATGTCATTTCCTAGATTAAATCCTGTTTCACTTTCCTATACGAATTTATGTGGGATCCTATGAAAATTCCTCTAAAATTCAAAGATTTTATAGTTCTTTTTCTGGGAAATTTTATCGAATCCTAATATATAGGATCGTATGTGGGGATTTTCAATATAGGGAGTTGGGCTCAAAATTTTCGTAATTAAATAGACTAACAATGATAAAAATTTAAAACAAGAACTTTTTTTATTTTTTGGATTAGAAAAAATTATCAGAAGTTAGACAACTATCTAAAAAACATCAAAATTTGCATGATAATTTGAACTTTGATTTTTATTGGATTTTAATCTACTACCAACGATTCGAAAGGTAATTTCATTTTCTTTCCAACGGTATATTATTTATTATATTTAGACTAGCTGATTTTCCTACAGGTGAATTTAAGTGACGTCACACCTCAAAAATGTGTTTTTTTAGATTCAACAAAATTGCACGAAGGAAAAAAAATCCAAAATATGTTTTTCTTACACAAAAAACACATATTAATCGAAAAAAAATGTTTCGTTCGATTGACCAAAAAAAGTTTTAAATTTGTAAACCTGCGTTATAGATGACTATGTCTTCTATGTGAACGAAAGATTTTAAAAACAAGTTTTAAATTTTTTTAAGAAGTTTGAACGTATGTTTTTGGTTTTTTCATATTTAATAATTATGACCAACCTTGGCTGCCTTAGTTTGGCCAACTATGGAAAACAATGGCCGGCATGACTAGGGCACCCACAGTTGGGTCGACTATGGGGAACTATGGTCATGATACATGATAATTTAAAAGCAAAATTTATTTCAAATTGACTAATTTTCTTATCTAAAAAAGTTTTATTTTTATAATAATTTTTTCCAACGCCAAAGTGATTCGATATGAAATAAATTGTTCATTATTATTTTATTATAAAATAGAATATTTATTAAATAATTTGAAATAGGTAATTTTTTTTATGAATTATTTTGTTAATACTATAATATTAATTATTATTATATTGATTTATGATAATTAAAATTTTTATTTTTATTTAAAATTTCTAAAAATACAGTCGGCATAGTCCCCCATAGTCAGGCCAACTGTGGCTGCCATAGTTTGGCTAACTATCGGGCACGACGGGCGGCAGCCCTAGTTGGGACAACTATGAGGGACAATGGTCGGCATGACTTGGACAGTCACAGTTGGGTCAACCTTGGTCGCCCTAGTTGGGCCGACTATGGGATCGTCAGTTGACATGACTTGTGATTTAGCAATCACAGTTGGGATATACTTTAAACAAAATGGTGATTAATAAAACTGTCGCAGCCAAAATAGTAAGAAACCCACTTCTTAATGGTCGGCTAAATTTCTTTGAAGATGCAACTTATGAGACTAATTTTTCCTTAGACTCTCATGTAAGCATAGGGTAATGGATAGCGTGTTAGATTTCGGTGCGTTAGGTTGCGGGTTCGATCCTTGCGAGCGATAAATATTTTTAAAATGTATGTATGTATAAGATTGCGTTTAGTGTTTAAATACCTAAAATAATTGTATGATGAATTTAGAATAATTACTAATATATGTTATTCGTATAACAAATTTTTATATTCTATTTTTTATTGGTCGGCAAAAATTTTAATGCCAAGGTCGGCCAACCTTTGGCAGCCATAGTTGGGCCAACTGAGTCGACCATAGGTCGGTTGACGTATTAAATTCGCTAGTTGGCCCGACCTTTGGCTGCCATAGGTGGGCCGACAATCTTTACCATAGTGGGCCCAATTATGGCTGCCGACCGTCGTCCTTAACAGTCGGCAAAACTAGGGCAGCCCAAGTTGGCCCAACTGTGGCTGCCGACCGTCGTCTCCAACGGTTGGCCTAACTAGGGCAGCCACAGTTGGCCTGAATTGGGTACCCATAGTTGGGCCAACCAAGTCGACCCCATGTCAGTTGAAGTTATCAATTCGCTAGTTGGCCTGTCCTCTGACTGCCCAAGGTGGGCCGACTGAGCACATGGTTGGCCCAACTTGGGGCTGACCGCCAACTCGCACCTGGGTTGATAACTAATTTAATATAATAATTAGGGGAGACTGGGGCAAACCGGCCATGTTAACAAGCTCTAGTAACTAAACAAACTAATGAAAAACCTTTTATAATAGCTGCATCAATTTTAAAAAAATTTGCAAACTAGCCGGTTTGCTCCACTCCTGAGGCAAACCGGCCAGTTCATTATTTTTATTTGTCTAGATAATTAAAAGAAAGGAAAACGTCATTAAATATAAAAAATAAATAAACAATCTTCCCGATAAGGGAAATAAAAAGATAGGATTAAATTTCATTTAAATATATTTAATTTATTATGAAACAAATAGTTTTGTCCAACGCCTTCGGTGGAATTGAGCCATTGGACGAAAGTGGATAATTGCAATATTTATTTGATTTACTAACGTTTCTTTTAAGATTTTCAATCAATTTTATTATGTGTATGATAAAATGTTTGAGACGTATTAAGAAAATTTTAGCTAATAATTATTATTATACAATGAAAGAAATAAGGTCAGTTGGGGTAAATGGGGACAAAATCGCTATTTTTCACAAATTACGTAAGTTTCTTCCTTTAAAAGGTAATTTTTGCAGGTTTATTTTTTTTAACTTGTTATTTACGTTCCCAGGATTAATTTTATGCATCAGAAAGAAATTTAGATAAGCTTTAAACGCATGAAACTGACTGTCCCCATTTACCCCAAGATTTAGAAAATTTCATAAAATTTGTGGTAAATGGGGACAGCATAGTTTCTAAGAAAGTTTTAAGAAAAAAGTTTCCTTAAGTATATTACAGTATTAGGGGATGAAAAAACTTGAAAAAAGTTGTAGTAGATATATAATAGTTAAACCAATTGAAATTTTTTTATTTTTTTTTATTTCAGTATTTTGTCTCGCATTTAAAAAAAAAGAGACTTAAAAATCATACCAAATTTTTTTCTTATTCCTTATGACTCCCATAACAGAAATTCACTTGAATTTTTGATTTTTGTTAATTTGGTTAATAATGACAAGCTGTCCACATTTACCCCACAAATTTGAAAACTCAGGGTAAATGGGGACAGCTTGTCATTATTAACCAAATTGATAAAAATGAAAAATTCAATTAAATTTCTGTTATAGGAGTAATAAGGAATAAGAAAAAAATTTGGTATGATTTTTAAGTCTGTTTTCTTTGAAAGGCGAGACAAAATACTGAAACTGTTTAACTTTGATTTTCAAGTTTTTATGCATTGAGCGATAACTGTTTTTATCTTGCTGCCAATTGTCAAGATAAAAGCTTGGCAATACTCAAAACCTCTTGCAGGTGATCTGAGGTTAAAATATTGACGTTGAACTTAATTTTAAAACTGTAAATTAAGCTCCAAAACCTCTTGTCCCCATTTACCCCAACTGACTGATGATTCTTGATAAATTTCGAATACACGTTTAAGAAAATTATCATACTGTTTAAAAGACTTTGTAGAACTGCGCATGCGTCAGTTTTATTCTAAATGAAAAATATCATTGACTATAATACATACAATACATGCATTATTCTAGATTAACATTTTGACAATTAACACCTGTATAAAAAAATGCTTCGTAAAATCATTAAATAATATGGCGATAAATTTAACTGAGGTATGCACCTTTTAAACTTAAAAAAAATTTTAACAAACATTACAAGATTTTCTCACTTATGAACTGTTTTACAAAAGTTTCTAGCGGAATCGAAGAAACAAACTTTTGTTTATAAAATTGCACAAACACAATTAAAAAATGTTAAAGTGAGGAAATAAGGTATTCTTAATATAGTCTTTTCAAATTTGTAACATATTTTAAAGTTTGACCAATTCAGAGAAATTAACACCTGGTCGGTTTGCCCTAGTTTTGAAAAAATTAGAAATGTCACATGAAATATTACTTAATATATCATGAAAAATTGCTGAATAAATTATTTAATTCCATTATTTATCAAATAAATGAGAAAATCGCTTATTTTTTTTTATCTTTCTAACAGTATACTTGTAACGTTAAAGACATATTGAGAAAGTAACTATTTTCAAACTACTAGTCTGGATGAGTTCAAAATTTACTACCTCCGCAGTCTAGTTAAATTTCTGACTTAATCCTGATTTTGAAATTACAACTGATCAAACTGACTTTGAATTACACCAGAGTCAGAGTGTCTTCTTAGAGATAAGTATTTCATTCAAAAAATTGATTATAATTACTTATCATACCTGCGCTTATCAAACCAAACAGCTTCACAGCCTCTTGTTTGTAAGGCTGCCATAATAACGTTAATGTCATAATTTCCAAGACCTAGTAAAGATTTGTGAGGATTTATCCATACATCTGGACTTAAACTGTAACAAATTTGGTCTAGTTCTTGTTTGCTGAAGCCACGTTCTTGAAATAAATTGTTCAAAGCATGTAAAGCACATAATTCCTTAACCTGTAACATAGAAAAGGTTACGAGGGTTTTCTGTTAAAGTAAAAATTAGATTTCATGAACCTAACAGATGGCTCATCGGTGTATTACAATATTTTGTAATATATTCTGACAACTCACTTTCCTTAGTTTCTGTTAGTAAATAAATAACACTGTAGCTCTTCAAGTAGAGAGATAAGTGAGTTTAATTTAATCCGTAAAGGAATATAGAAGTGTAGATTAGGCATGTCATTAAACCGTTCATAACTCAGTGGTCAAGAAACCATGTTCGTTCTAAAAACGTTTTAAAAACGTATTTAAAACGTTTCATGTCTACCAAATAATGTTCTGCAACATTATTTGAACATCCATGTTCTTAAAATGTTCCAGAACATTATTTGGCGGACATGAAACGTTCTAAAAACGTCCTTAAAACGTTTTTAGAACGAACATGGTTTTTTGTCCACTGGGAAAAGTCTAGTATGAATTAATATATATATTCGTCAGATATATTGGTGTTGCATTCGAGTCGAGATTTCTCGGTGCACTCACTCGATTTCATGCATGATCGTCTGTTTGACACGATTCGATTTTCTCAATCTGTGACACTCCGCGACAAAAGGTACCTAAGCTGATGGAGCAATTCTGAGTTCGAATTCGTGTTCAGTGTCAAAAAACCTGTAAGAATTACCATATGCGATCCCAGAAATAAAAAAAATTAAATTCTGTTGCACAGTGAAATAAGACTTTTTTAGATATCGGAGTTGTTTCCAACGTATTATTGTGTGTTGAACACAATCCCGGGTTCCTAAATTGAGAATCACGTCAGGATTTTGAGTAAAGTAAGGGTAAATAGGCTTAAATTAAACCGTAAACTTTAAGATCCATAATTATGCTTAAGATAAAAAAAATTTGAAAAAACATGGGGTTGAAACCCCCAAAAAACGTGTTTTTGAGGATTTTCAGTATTTTTAACTCCTTAACCTGACGTGCTACAGGCTTCTATTTAAGCTTTAATTAAAGCTTACATCGAACAATTTAAGACTCATATAGGCAAAATAAAAAAGTTTTAAAATTTTGAAAAAGATTGAACTTTTTTGAAATTTTTCGAATGGTGAATTTTGTTTTTTAATATTTTTTAATTTTTACCTTGATTTTCTATAATTAAACATAAATTTGTATATATAGGAAAAAACCTCAGCTTTCGTTTGCAATCGATTTTGGTGAAAATAGCAAATTTATGTTTAATTATAGAAAATCAAGGACAAAATTAAAAAAAATTTTAAAACCTAACAAAATTTTTTTTATTGCATGTATAGGAAGCAAATATTCAAATAATAGGCGGTTGCAAGGAAAACTTATAAAATTGCCTCCCCCCCTTTATCTCCCTCAAAATTGCAAAAAAGTCACAAAAAATAATTTTTTTGACACAAGAGCCGCCAGTGAACATGTAAAAGGAATTGGAACAAATATCTTATACAAGAATATGTACAAGAACATGCATATGAGGCATTTTACGTGTAATGTCCAAAGTTAAAAAATTGATTTCTCAAAAAAAGTACACGATCCTGTGCAAGTTTTTTCAACAGGGCAGTTTTCTCAGGTTTCAGTTTTTTTCGAAAAAATCGATTTTTCAACTTAGGACATTACACGTGAAATGCTTCATATGGGTCTTAAAGTGTAGTATTTAAGGGGGAAAACTCGTGTAAATGCACGTTTTTTAAGATTTTTTTTACAAGAAAGTGGTAAAGTTTATTGAATTTAAATAAAACATAACATACATAACAATATAAGCTATGTATAATAATTTTTTTAATTAAAAATATTACAAAATGGTAGAGTTACAGGCGTTTGAAGTTAGATCTTTGGCTAATGGTGCTTGCTAATGACATTAATAAAATTATATTGAACTAGCGATGTATTCCTCGCTCGCTAACACTCGCTCGGTTATAGTTGTACAGGGTGTCCAGCGACCTTGAATTCCTTGAAAACATTGAAAAGTACTTGAATTTTATAGCAAAACCTTGAATATTTTATATTTTCTAAAATAATAGCTTAATTTTCTAGTCTCAAATACATTTGGTCTAACCATGACTAGAAAAAAGCGCGAAACATAATAAACTTTTTGAAAAAAACATTCTTCTCGATTCTCTGAATCATAGAATCGATTTCAAAGAATCGATTTTTTATAGGAATCGGTTGTTGATATGCTGGTGTTAGTGTCATGTGTAACATGTCGTTGGTAGTTTTTATTTTTTGTACCAAAGTTTCATTACAGAATAATTAAAAATTAGTACAATTTTGACTAATTTGAATTGTTACATGACACTTTACTAATTAAAATTTAGAGAGTCATAAATAGTAAAATATTTTCGAAGTTATTATGTTAAAAGTGCACCTTGAAAAAAATTATTTTGGGCCTTGAAAACCTTGAAAAGTCCTTGAACTCTTTTTTCAAGAACCGCTGGACACCCTCTTGTAGTTATTGTTGTTTAGTTATTGCAGTTTATGTATATTATATATATAATTTATGTTTCAAATTAATATATTATTAATATTGTATAAAATTTATCTTAATTTTAATCAGTATCATTGAAGGATGAAATGACAATTGTTAAATATTAAATGTTTTAATTTATTATAATTATAACAACAATATTAATTATATTATATTATAATATATTATATTATATTATATTGCTGTAAATTGCCCCACAAACACATGGAGATTTTGCAAATTTTTTAGAAAAATGTTCATAATAAATCGAAAAACCATTTAAAATATCGGTTTTTATTTTTATTATCCAGAATAAACCTTTATAAAGAGATTTTAAAGGTATATATCCAAAAATTCGTAAACAATTGCATAAAATTGCAAAATAACCCTTTTTTGGGTTGAGAATGCAAAATAACCCTTTTTCGGGTTAAAATTTTAAAAATATGTTACAAATAAAATCGGACAAGTGCGAGTTACACTCGCACTGAAATCGAGGGTTCCGTACTCGAAGCGAACTTATTTGGTATAAAAACAAATGTTTAAAAAATATGTGTTGTATGACAACTAATATAAGTGATACAAAAAGGAACAATTTTGTAAAATTCAAGAAAATTGTTCCTCTTCGTATCACTTATATTAGTTGTCATACAACACATATTTTTTAAACATTTGTTTTTATACCAAATAAGTTCGCTTCGAGTACGGAACCCTCGATTTCAGTGCGAGTGTAACTCGCACTTGTCCGATTTTATTTTTTAAAAAATATTTTACTAAAAAAATATAAGAAACATAATTTTATTTCAACTCGCAATATTTTTATTGTATTTACATTTTAAAAATATATTGAATATTAAATTTTATCTTTCTAAGTCAAAAAGAGATAAAACTTAAGATATTGATATAAGGCTAGTAGCTGCTTGTCAAGGAAAAATCGAAAGTTATCTAAAAAATAAAATTTGTTTATTAATTCCAGAAAAATCAACTCCAATCATCCTCGCTATATTTTTTTTGTAATCTACACGTAAAAATACGTTAAAATATATAAATTTAATTTCCTTTAAATAAAATTTTGTTCGTTTTTGGTGGAAAAATACATTTTTTTCCTAAAATTGTCATTTTTTCTTGAAAAACTTGATAAAAAGTTAATCATCAACTCTAATCGTGACCGCTTTTTTTCCCCTGTATTTTTCCCGTAAAAATACATTTGTATACTAAATATGATCTGTCTGGGTTGAATATTGTGTGCGCTAGGGAGAATAAATTATTTTTTTCGAAATTTTTGATTTTTCCTTGACAACGCTATGTAAATTGATCCGAATCAAGTTCGCTATAATTTTCCTGTAATTTTCACGTAAAAATACGTAAGTGTGTCAAATTTGAGCTCTTTATGTCAAAAGATGTGGCCGCTAGGGGGGGGGTACATAGTCATTTTTAGGCATTTTTCGTAAAAATTCATGGTTTTTCCTTGACAACGCTATGTTAATCAATTCCAATCAAGTTCGCTATAATTTTCCTGTAATCTACACGCGAAAATACATATGTGTACTAATTTTCAGCCCTCCAGATAAATTTATGTGGCCGCTAGGGGGGGGGTACACGATTTCAAAAAAACCGATATTAATAGGGTTCCGAACCGAGTACGGAACCCTAAAAAAAGTATGTAAGATTTTCTAAAAGCATATGGCTTTGATTTATTTGAAAATAAGTGAAAATAGATTTTCCAAGGACAGTGTCGAGGTCACGGTGTCGCTTCTGGAAATTTGTTAACTTAATATAATAGAAGATGTTTCGTTTTAAAATAAGAAATGTTAAAATTATTAAGTTAAAAACAATTGATTTCAATGACACTTATAATTAGGCACAATATTATAGGTTCCTAACTAAAAATTTAAAAAACAACAATAAATAATAATAAAAAACCATAAAAAATTGTTCATAAGTAACATTTTAAAAATAGAGTAATTTTAAAGGTATATATCCAAAAATTCGTAAAAAATTGCATAAAATTGCAAAATAACCCTTTTTTGGGATGAGAATGCAAAATAACCCTTTTTCGGGTTAAAATTTTAAAAACATGTTACGAAAAAAAGTATGTAAAATTTTCTAAAAGCATATGGCAAAGTATTTTGATTTATTTGAAAATAAGTGAAAATAGGTTTTCCGGTGTCGGTGTCGTCGGTGTCGCTTTTGGAAATTTGTTATCTTAATATAATAGAAGATATTTGAAGTGCAACACTTATGTACACTATATACTTCGAATTATAGATTAATAATCTAGGATCATATTCTACAGATAATAAACTAATTTTTAAAGCACAATAAAATTGTAAACAATTCTTTTTTACACGAGTTTTCCACCTTAAGCTTTAATTTAAGCCTATATAGAAGTCTCTAGCACGTCGGGTTAAGAAGAAAAACTAATTAATAAATAATTTTTTTATTAGTTTTTAATCCTCAAATAATATTCATCCTATTCCATTTACTGGTACATATTTAAGTAACGTATACTTTTGTTATGTTTCAATATTTAATATTATATGAAACCAAGAAGAGTGAGAACTGCCATTTTGAACTTATAAGAATTTTTGCGTTGTTTAATAAAAATTATAGAATTTCTATTTAAGAGAAATTTATAAAGTACATTTTATATTCAACCGAATTTTCATACAAAACAATTTTTATTTATCTGCATTTTTATTTAGCCAAACTTTTACATTGCAGACACTCTAGTTCACCGAATTTTAATCTAGCAAAATTTAATAGAATTCTTTTTTAATCAAATTACTACTTATCCAAATATTCACTTAAAAGTAATTTAAGTTAACCGAATTTTCATTCTAACTTTAACAAAATTTTCATGAAACGAAATTTCTATTTAGTTTAATTTTCAAATAGCAGAATTTTCATTTGATCCAATTCTCATTTCATAGAACTTTTAAAAAGTCAAATTTTTCATTTGGTCTAAATCACAAATGGCCAAATAAACAATCTACAAAAAGATTCCGGCGCGAATTTTAAAATTGACCAATCACAATTTTCTTGATATATTCTGATTGGTCATCTTTAAAATTGGCGCCTAAATATTTCAGTCGATTTTTTGTTTGGTCTTTTGCAATTACTATCAAATGAAAATTTGACGTTTTAAAAGTTCTTTAAAATGACAATTCGATCAAATGGAATTTCGATGATAAAGAAAATTATACCATTTGTGAATTGGCCTAATTAGAAATTCTGTTAAAATTTAATTCAGTTAAATAAAATACTGTTAAGTGAATATTCGGATAAATAGAAATTCGATTGAGGATCAACTCTGTTAAATTAAAGTTTTGATTGGTGGAAATTTTGATAAATTTAAATTCTCTAAAACGAAAATCGCATTAATGAATTAGAGAATCTGCTTTACAAAGTTTGGCTAAATGAAAATGTTACGATATAAAAATTTTGTTGAGATTCAAATTTTATTTTAAAAAATTCCCATCAAATTTGTAAACACTGTCCCCAAAACCCAGCGAGTAACGAGTTTTAAGTTACTGTGATTATGGAAACTCGGTATGTTTTTTGGTTAAAAATAAAAAAAATATAAAATTGCAAATATTTTGAAAATGTAACCTTATTTTAAGACGACATTCAATTGTGTGTTAAGAGAGACAACTCAGACACATATAATACACTAAAACTATACCATAAAATTGTGTTATGAATAAAAACCAAAATATATCCGCTGTTTCGTCAAAAGACGTAATTAATTTTTTAGTAGGGTTATGTGCTGTGTGAGTCACTATGCAAATTTTGAACAGAATCGCCAAAAAATATTGAGCTGATTAAGTTTAATTCAGATATTAACACAGAGTATGTACATAAATTAAGTTGTGTAAATAAAGATAAATGATAAAATTACCTGTCGTTCATGATATATAGATTCAGTCATATCAGTGGTTGTGCTAAAAACCATGACTCTTACATTACATTTACACCTTAATAAGTGTCTAATTATGTTATTCCAACAATGGTATAATCCGAATTCTTAAAAGTAATGGAATAATTATGGGAAAATAATAATCAATAAATATAACCTTGTTATGTTATGTTATGACTTGAGAGTTTGACACACCGGACAGAGCTCAATGCATGATCTTGCATGATCAAACTAACCATCAGGCGGTAGGAATTTTGAATGCTATAGCACGATCTAAGAAATGAAGGTCTCGCGACGCGCAGTTCATGAAAAGACCACCAATGAGACAGGTGGTTTGCGTCAGCCATTTTGCTTTGACTTATAAGCGCTACATTTTAAAGGATAAGAAATGATTTGCTCATGTTATATTGTTCGTTTATAAATAAGTGTAAAAAATGATTAAATTAAAAGTTGACTTATTTTGCCATAAATCTTAAAAGTATCTACTTGAGTGCAGAAAAGTGTCTCTTTCAAAGTGAAGAAATCAACTTTGTGCAAAAACAGACCAAAAAAAATAATAAACATAAAGGTGGAAGGATAATATTTTTAACTTCGGATTCTTAAGATTTCGAAAATCAATGTAATAACAGAAACTATTCTTTTAGGCCGATCATTTTTTATAAACTATAGGGGAGAAATGGGGAGTTGTGTACCGGGTTTTTTCGATCAAAACTATTATATAAATTTTTTTTATAGAACGCCTAGTACACGTACAAACACAACTTTTGGCAGGATCAATTAATTAAAATTCAAAACGGATATAGAAATTTTGCTTGTTTTCCACCGTTGAAAATTAAAGAAAAAGACATTTTTCAGAATATTTTTTATTTAAATTATGAAATGTGAAAAAATAAGATAATTTACATAAAATAAAGTAATAAATAAGAACAATATTTAAAGTGCATAAAACATTCGAATTATTCATAGATAATGCGAAATTAAAATAGAGAGTGTGTATTAGAATTATTCTTCTTCTTCTTATATAAAAAAATTTTTTTGGTGTGGCCACGTACGTTGAAAAGTTATTAATGACAGATAATTTTTATGCATTAAACATTGTGATCTCTATGAAAAAATTAGTGGAAGTGACCTAACCATAAAGGGACAACAAAACTTTTAGAAAAAAAATTTAACTCACTATCTGGAAAGACACGAAAAACACTTGCAAAGATGACGGATACCACATAAAAAGTTAGTTCTTAACGAGAAAAAAATATGACAATAGTTGAAAATTGTTATATTAATTGCCATATTAAAAAAATTATTGTGGAGTACAACTCCCCATTCTCCCCTACTTTAACGAATATGACGAATATTGATTTTAATTATGACAGTGAAATTGAGACAAGAAATTATTTTTTCTTGGATACGGACAAGGCCAAGTGCTTTTTTAATATTCTTTTGATATTGAAAGTAATTTTTCTTGTAAATTAATTAAGGCAATGTTAAACGATTCATTTTCAGATTATGAAAATTATTCTAACCCTTAAAGGAATTGCTTCAAAGACATTTTTTTACGATTAAAAGAATTTTTCCCTCGGTGGATTATTATTGAACGATTAAGGAATTCGGATTATAAATGTTGATAATTATTGGTTTAATTAGAATTTATTTACTCAAGTATTATAAAAGATGAATCCATAAATACTATAACAATATTTAACATCTTTATTTCTGCAGTAGTAAATATTGATACAGTTTATTTTATAATATTAAATTAGAAGAAAAATCCCAGAATTTTGCCTCCAAGATGTTTTCTCCTAGCTTCTTCGTGATCCATAATACCTCCACTTGTCGTTAAAACCACGTAACTGTTAAAGAAGAAAACAAACAAGTTAGTATAAAACTATTGCCAACTAAAGTATAAAATAAGTTTTTTTCATGAACACTGCTACTTTATAGAGATTTATTTATTGTATAAATAACTCAATCTTCTACAGATTGAGTTATTATTATACGACACTACACTGACAAAAATATGCTATTGAATCAACAGCATTTAAAAAGGGGTGGTTTTCTCTTAAAACTTGTTAAAAGTATGTGAGGGAACAAAAAAATGGACAAAAGATATTAAATCAGAGGTTACAGATCTATCCAAGATTGAAAATAGCGAAACATATTGTAAAGATTTAGTTAAAGCAGTGTATAATATAGAGCTAAGAAGAGAATATTAATTAAGGTAGAAATAGTTTCAATCAAATAAATGTTTAAATATAACTTTAAATATTTAAAAAAATATTGATTCATCTGAAATTATTAAAACTTACAGAAGTCTATATTTAAAATTAATTGTAATTTTATTTCTTACCCAAACTGTCGACTCGGTAATAAATTATTGGTCCACTTCTCAATATCTGTAATTGGAACATCGAATCTAGGAGAAATAACTCCACACTTGTTCAGTCTTCCTGTTAAGTTAACAACAACTTTGCCGCTACGGTGGTCATCAACAATTTCGAATTCTCCAATGTACCCTATAAAATGAACATTTACAATAAATATTGATATTTAATATTACTTACAAGAAGCTTATTTTCATTAATCACAATCCATTTTTAAATCAAACATTAAGCTAAAATATTTCTAAACTGAGCTATTCAAACTAGAAGAATTATTTTTTTAAATTTCTTATTGTTTATTTATAACTTCTGATAATTTGTCAACGCAGATTGCTAGAAGTCACCTCAAGGTGACCCAAATTTTTTTTTAAATTGTATAGTGTAAAAAAATAGTAATTTCTAATTATAATTATTTGTTTTTTATTATAGTTTAGTAAAATACATTATTTGTCAACATCAACCTTGATGATTCACAAAAAATATTTGAAAAAAGTTAGAAATAAATGTAAATGAATTATATCAATTGCGCAAAATAATTGCAGAATGGAAGTTATTAATACAATATAGTACCGATGGTACTCAGGATGACCGCTTTTTTCACAAAACAAAATTCCCATTCATAAAAAATGTCTACACTGAGAGAAGCTTAACGCAACATCTGCATTTTTTGAGAGACAGATATTGTACATCAATTGAGGGTATGGATGCTAAAAGGGGATATAAGTGAAAGTAAAAGTCCCCGCGTGTAGCGAGTCAGCGGCTGCGCAAGGGGACAACGTAAACCATGCGCGTTCCCTTATAGCATCCATACCCTCAATTATGTGCAGACGCAGTACTAAAATCGAACAGCAGCAGCAGAAAATCTTTCTATAACATTATAGTAAATACCGATACATTATTTATTCAAAACAAAACAAATAACTATTTGGGGCATTTATGATATTGATTTAATTTGATAAAATGTATTTTTTTACAAAGAAGAAGTATATTTTTGATGATTTATGAGCCAAAAGTTTTGAACGTTCAAATGAACAAAATTTATTTTGCAACTTCTTTAAGTACGAATTTTATTACAAAATATTTTTTTAAATATCTAAATGGAAATTATTAATTTAATATTTGTTTAATTTACTATTTTATTTTACATTGACATTATAGTTTTTAATAATTAATAGATTGAAAAAAATATTTTGTTTATTTGAACGTTCAAAACTTTTGGCTCATGATGATTTAAGGTGAAACGGGGGAATTTTAGTCATATTAACCTTTTGAAACGAAGGGTTTTTGGCGGACGAGTTTTGTAAAAAAATTGATGAGCCAAAAGTTTTGAACGTTCAAATGAACAAAATATTTTTTTCAATCTATAAATTTTTAAAAACTGTAATGTCAATGTAAAATAAAATAGTAAATTAAACAAATATTAAATTAATAATTTCCGTTTAGATATTTAAAACAATATTTTGTAATAAAATTCGTACTTAAAGAAATTGCAAAATAAATTTTGTTCATTTGAACGTTCAAAACTTTTGGCTCATAAAAATTGTTGGATTCACTTGAATCTTGTTACTCGAAGGTTTTTTAGAGTCGCTGATTACGAATCTGAAGTCAGATTTTCAAAATTCCCGTTTCACCTTAAATCATCAAAAATATATTTCTTCTTTGTAAAAAAATACATTTCAGTCATTTAAATCAATATCCAAAATGGCCCAAATATAGGGCTTATGGGCTCTTCTTCTTTGTAATATTTTTGCAGATAATTTATAATAATAAAATTAAACAATATTTTTTTGCTTTACTTATAACTTTTTCCCTACTAAAAATAGAGAAAAATGTTAAGAATGTTTTATACCCAAAAAACCTTAAAGTTTAAATTAAATTTTTTTTTAAATATTACTTTTTAAACAATTTGTTTAAAAAATAAAATTTGATAATAATTATTTAACATGTTCTCCTACTTTTTGAAGTGTGAAAAAAGTCGTGAATATTGTTTAAGTCATAATAAATCGATAGTTAAATTTTTGAGATGACATTATTTTGGATTTGAATGGTGTTTTTAAAATTATTATAATTTTATTTATTTAAAAAATATTTTATTTTTTATTACATTTTATTAGTTAATTAATTAATTAATATTTCGAAAACAAAAAATAATGCCATCTCAAAAATTTTAACTATCGATTTATTATGACTTAAACAATATTCATGACTTTTTTCACGCTTCAAAAAGTGTGAGAACTTGTTTAATAATTACACTGAGAAAAAAATGCTATTGAATTTATAGCATGTATATTCATATGCGTTCAAAGGCAGATGCTATTAACTTGATGCGATATGTAGTTCATTTTACAGCACTGCTATTGAATCAGAAACTGTATTCTTTGGTTCAGTAGCAGTGCTATAAAATGAACTACATATTGCATCAAGTTAATTATATTTGCTTTTGAACGTATATGAATATGCGTGCTATAGATTCAATAGCATTTTTTTCTCAGTGTATTATTAAATAATAATAATTATTATATTTTAAACAAATTGTTTAAAAAGTAATATTAAAAACAATTTTTTTTATTTAATTAAAAGATTAAGGTCTTCTGCGTATAAAACGTTCTTAACATTTTTCTCTATTTTTAGTAGGGAAAAAGTTATAAGTAAAGCAAAAAAATATTGTTTAAATTTATTATTAGGTATAAATTATTTGCAAAAATATTTAAAATTTAAATTTTGTATACTAATTTAGCACCAGTGAAACTACAATTGACTGAATTTTTAGAAAAATCCGAGATTAATCGAAAACTTACCAAATATTCAGTACACTCAATGAACTTTTAGATTTTCTTTTTACTTTTCTTCTTTCTTCCTTATAAATATAAAAAATTGTAAAAATAAAATTGCCACTTTGTTGATTTTTGCGATCATTGAACCATAATAACTTTCTAACAGAAGAATAAAACGAATTGAGTCTGGAAATATTTAAATAGTCACTAAATACATTCACACCGAAAATTTTGCGTTGGTCCCAAAACTACTTTTCCAAATATTAAAGTTTAAAAATTTTTATTTTCAGGTTAATACTTGTGATTTTTCCAAATATGACAATAGTTTATCATTATGGTTAATAATATTGAACCAACTTCAACATAACAAAATAACATGTATTAACCTGTAAAAAAATTATAATTTTTAAACTTTAATATCTGGAAAAGTAGTTTTGGGACCATTTAAATATTTCAAGTCTCAAATTATTTTATTTTTCTGTAAGAAAGTTATTAAGGTTTAATGATCTCAAAAATCTGCAAAGTGGAAATTTTGTTTTCACAATTTTTTTATATTTATAAGGAAAGAAAAAAATTAAAAAAATAAAATCTAAAAGTTCAAGTGTACTTAATATTTTGGTAAGTTTTTGTTTCATTAATAGATAAAAACCGCAAAGTTAGGTAATTTGGCAGGTCGTCTTTGAAATCTTATTTTAAAATACTTATATTAATTTTAAGTAAGAAATTTAATTATTATTAACAAATCTCAATGATTTTTTTTACAATTTCCCAGTAAATTACACGTTTTCTTGATTATTTTCATCTAGCTGAAAAGCTGTCAGTTTTTAGTACCTCCTACAATTTAAATTTATATTTTTACAATAAATAAAAAAAAATTTCACAAAATTCTCATTTTGTGATGTTGATATTTTCTAAATATTATTTCTAAGTACCATAATTTTTTAAAATTAGTTAGCAGACTTTGGTCGAAACATAATGGAATGTCTATATGATTTTCAATATAGCGTTTTTTTAAATCTGTCAATAACCACCCTTCATTGACACAAGGTGTCAAATAAAAAAAAAAAAAAAAACACGTGTTTAATGTAGTGGTGAGAAATATGAAATTGTTTACTTCGCAACAGAAAAAATTTGTCAGCTCGTTATATAAAGATTAAAGTGTAATTAAAGTAAGTAAGTGAAATGTAATAAAGTGAATAAGAAAGAGAAAAAGAAACTTACCATGCTTCATCATCACAGTCAAAAACTTGACAATAACCTTTGAACAAGGTCTCAACAAAACTTGCCTCTTTCCACGCTTTTCGGCATTATTAATCGACTTGAGAGCGTCGCTCAGAACGTTCATACGCACCATGACTGAAAAAATTACATTTATTTGAAAAAACCTGCAAAACCAACAAATGAACTACACTCTGCACTTAAAATAACAACACAAAAATTTCTTCCATTTTTACCACATGTCTCTTCTCACGTGTTAATATTAAAGTATTTCATTAAAATAAATTTTTTTTTTTTTTAATAAGACAAAAAAAATTTCACCTTAAAATTTACTTTTATTTATAACCTTAAATTGTAACAAAAATGATCAAACAATTAACATCACTTCCGGAATTGAGTGAAACTCGAGCAACATTACAAATGTGCAAATATAATGATTAGTTATGTAAATAAAGACAAGAACAATTAACGTAACTTTTGTCTTTGTTACTGTGATTTCGTTAAATTATTAAATTTTAAATAATGTACAATATCACAGTAGAAGCAAAGTGTCACTGTTAACCTAAAAAACAATCACACTAATAAAAAGAACTATAACTTGATCCCGCGTAGAAATATTACAGTTGTTATATTAAATGCAATTTATAATTTCATAATTTTCATATAATACTGAGATTTAGTTTACGATTTAATAGATTACCTGCGATTTAAATTTTGTTTACCGGAACGACATAAACACACACGTTTCACGGAGAAAAAAGAAAGATAGGCATCCTCCTATACTCTTAACTTTGGAAAATTGAGCTCACTGCGCTTGCGTTACTCTGGCCGGCAGGGATGGGAACCCATTTAAATTTTGAAGCGCATTTTAGGCCAACGCACAATAGCTTTGCGAAATAGATGCATAAGGTAGAAAAATATATGAATGCAACTCTATCCTTTTTTAACTCATGAAATGTTAATTAAACTAAAGTCCTAAGCACAATAGAGTCGGGTACGTGAAACGAATGCAGGATAAGGGTACGGTCACACTATCTCATGCATGCAGAAACATTTGGCCGGTCACACTTCAACGA